GGCGGGGGGGGGGGGGGGGCAGCAGTCCTGATACCTTCCAGAAGAGGTCTTGGGAGGGGAAGGAGCAAAGCAGGTTACTGCAGGCAGGAGCCCAGGGCAGTGCCAGGCCAGGAGGTTGGAGATCCAGTGCAAGTCCTGGTCTGACTGCCTCCAGATAACCATGGTAACTCACTGACCCTGCCCTCAGTTTTCCCCTCTGTCACCTGGGGAGGACCAGCAGCTGGGGCCCGGCCACTCACTACAGCCTCTGGGAGGAAAAGGGGCAGGGGAGTGGGCAGGCACTCTTCTGGGGCAGAGGCTTTTGCACCCAAGCTCCAAGTGTAACTTCCTTTGATGGCCACTGCTGGGGTTCCCAAGATACTGGCTCTGCTATTCTTGGGGTCCCAGGCCCCATCAGCACCTAGGCAGTTGTGGCCACTTCTGAATGGGCCCCAGGAACAGGAGGCCCATCAGGAATGCAGGCCGATCTGCACTTTCTAATCCTTTGCAGGCACCTCAGGTTTGGACACCCAACTCCCTCCCTACATAAATCCCTAAGGAAATGCTCCTGATGGCCTGCTACCATGAACACAGCTGCGCCAGGCCCAGCAGCACACAACAGTCAGGGGCACTGTGGCTACCACTAGCAAGGGCCAAGCAGAGCCTCTGACTGCCCAGGCCAGGAGGCACAGAAGCCACCACTCCAATCTTGGTGCTTTGCAGAAGGGGAAACTGAGGCAGAGGAGTCCTACCCAAGGGCTCACAGCCAGGCAGAAGCAGAGCCAACACCCACAGGTGCCTTCGCAGGTAGCTGATCCCCAAGAGTCGTACAGACCCTGCCCCTCAGAATGTGAGCCAGGGTCCACCCCTCTGGGATGCAGTAATTGATTCTCACGAATGTGTGAGCACTGTTGGAAGTGATGGTCCGGTCTTCAGGGACATGTCTGAGATGCGCCATTCATTATTCAACAGCAGGGCCAATGGGGTTTTGCTTCTGCATGGTTAAGGGTCCCATTAATGTTGCAGCCTCTGTCAGGAAACTGTGCTGCTACAGCAGGCCCTGGCAGGACTCATGCACAGGCTGAGCGGCCTCCGACCTGGGGAGTAGCAGAGGGGTGGGTGCAGGGGGGTGGCTCCCAGGGCAAGGCTGAGAAGCCAGTCTTTGGCGATGTCCCCACCCTGGGTCCCAGTGTGTCCCCGATACCAAAGTCCTGTGCTGCCTCAGCCCTCACATCCCCAAGCAGAGACATCCCCAGGGATGAGTGAGCCCACTTTGGTTCTGATGGGTCAAAGGCTATAGAGGGGCTTGTGGCCTGGAGAGGAGGAGGACAGACACCAAGAAATGGCCAGGCCCATCCTGGCTGCAGCCCCTCCCGGCCCCATGTCCATGTGTGACCCCTGTTCCTGGTGCCCCAGCCCAGTGGAGCAAGTGGACAAGTCCAGAAGAACGGCACCCAACCCTAAGATAGATGATCAGAAGGAGCAAGAGGATGGTGCAGTGACAGCTGGAGAGGGGTCTGGCAAGGCGGAGGCAGCAGGGGAGGTAGGCCTTCTGGCTGGGTGGTGACTGTTCCCATTCCACCCCTGAGTTGCTGGGACAGGAGGGCAGCTAGAGCCTTAGGATGGCCACCATCTCCAATCTTGGGGGCGATGGCCCTGGGTGGGGGTGACAGCCACAGCCTGGAGAAGGAGCCATCAGGTGGCCTGAAACTGTGGAGGCACCATGGGGGCATCAGCAAGTGGAGGTCAGGGCCTGAATGGCTGCAGCCACACCCCCAGGTCCTGGCCCCAGGGCACATGGGGCCAGGTCCCACACAGACCAACAGCTGACAGCAGCTGCAACCATGGCCTGCACCCACTTGCCAGCTGCCCGCCCCAGGACAGCTTTGAAACCCTGCTCAGGTACTGCTGGAGGGGCCCAGCCTAGGTCAATGGGTCAGGGTCCTGCCCTGGGCTTTGGCAGCCACTGGAGCAGAGGGAGCCAGAAATGCCCGCTCTGCCTTCCTGAACCAGCCTGACCTAGATTTCGTGCCCATGTGCAGCAGCCATGCAGAGACTCAGCCAGCTTGGCAGCAAGGCAGGTGGGGCTGGGCTCCACAGCCATGGGGCCATCCACAGACACACACCCAAGGGGCAGAAGAGGAGGAGGGGAGCCCTGTGTCTCACAGCCCACCCCACCATCTGGGTTCAGCTCCAGCAGATCCATGCAGGGAGAGCCAGCCTGCACCCAGAGGCCCAGGGCTCCTGCAGTCTGAGACATGCTGCAGCCAGTCAGACCAGGAAGCCTCTGTCCAGATCAGCTCCACAGGTACTGGTGCTACTGCGACCCCCATCCTCAGCCCACAGGCAGCAGCTGGCCCCCAGGACAGGCACCTGTCACCCATTTCAGCCTGCACCTTGATACCATGCACCCAGGCAGCTGGTCCTCACCCCCATTGTCACTTGAAGCCCCTTGGCCATTTGAACGGATTAAAGATGTGAAAATGTTTAACAGAAGCAGGTGCACCCTGCATGCCAAGAC